TACGCACCTAACACAGAGGGGGGGGTCCTCTCCAGCCCTCGTCTGCTATCCATTTGTCATACAGAAACAGTAAGTAAGTGACACAAGGCATTTTTTCAAAAAATGTAACCCATTGTTATAAACAGCTATTTTGGTTTTGCATGACTTCAGTACTATTTCATCATTAGCGATATTCCTAGAGAAGCCTGGATATTAAGGAGAAGCCCATACTTGCAGAAGTGGAGTAAACCACAAGAACAAAAGCTCATGTGATTGATTATAAGGAGTGCTTTAATACTAAAGTGCATTAAAAGCCAGAGTACTCCAGATGCTTGTCAGGCTGAGAAAAATGCAACAGCACTGGTTAGACGGAGAAGGTAAGTGGTCACAGCTCAAAATTGTACCTCATGAGCCTCCCTTTAAAAGTGATGAGCTATGTGATCTTACACATGCACAAATGTTTCTTGTCCAATTCACAGCGGGTGGTGGGTTTATTTGGTATGATTAGATCTAATCACCTAATACATGTAGGGTATATGCAAGGGGCAGATTTCAAGCAATTTGCAAAGGTAAGGCTACAGGGAAGACTTACAGAAGAGCATGATTAGATGCTGACTAGAAAGCATTTCATTTACTGCAAGCGCTTAAAAAAACAGAAATACAGGTGGAACAGGATATAATTGCCGCAAGTATTTTAAAACCACCAAATCTCTTTTATGATGACTACTCTGCATTTAGCAAGGTAACAGAACTGTCTGCTGGAAGGAGAAAGATGTAAAACTTGTTTCTTATGTCTCTCGTGTAACGCCTTAAGAACAAAGCTGACTGTCTGGGGAGGCAAACGCAGAAGACAAAGCAATGCAAGTCACAAGCACAGAAATGCTGACCAGCCTGTTGACATTTAAATCTTGTCATTTTGTTTCACTCCTCTTCCCTATATTTTAAGAGCTGCTTTTGTTCTTTTGCAGGAGGAGAAGTCCCACTAAAGAGCCTGTCACATGCTGCAGCGTTTTAAGAATATGCCCAGCCCTATTCTGCAAAGCAAACCGGAAACTTGTAACAGCACTGCAGATTAAATAAGAACATTGCCTAAGGTTGAGTTGCTAATGAGAGCTACTCTTTTTGTTTTTCTACTTGGTTATTCTTAATAGGAAAACCAGGTAATTGAGAGCAAGAGTTTCAAGACCGAGCAGTATATTCACATCCAGTGACTGGCAGCTAATCTGCCTCTGCAAACGCAGTGGAGACAGGCTCCCTCTGTATGGCCAACGCTCTAAATCATTCTTGGGAGAGGTGCAAAGTACTCAAAGCTTGCTGGTCCGAATGCTCAAATTTGTACTCTGTCACTCTTGTCACATTCACTAATGTATTTTCTATCAAAGATAAGAGATCAGAAGCATTTGTATTGACTGTTATGTCTTTCAGGACACGTATGGTAACAGGTCTGGATTTGTTTCTAGGCTTTTGTTTTGGTTTTTGCTTAGGCAGATCTTAGAAGAGGAAGAATAGGACTTTTGTCATGGGGAAACTATTCCTGGCCAAGAAATCTGTGAGGAAGTACTTCAATATTCTGATTACTAGTTAGCCTGCCTTAAAAATGCCTTTTCCTTCCTTCCACGAGGGTACCCTTTCAATAGCCAGTTATGTTATGCCACAGCCTTTGCTTTCACCAAGCAACGGTACTCAACTCTTTAATTTCCTCCTAGATCCTTGTTTCCAACCCTCAGTCATTTTGGTTGCTCTCAAAATTTCCTTTTACCTATCAAGCAGCTGACAGCAACAGTGAGCACTGCTGAATTGGACACTGAATGAGATTCCCACATCTCAAAATACATTTTACTGACCACACCCACTGAGGGCTCATATCATTTATTGTCAATATCTTTTAACTGTACAGTTTTCTCAGTCTCTTTGAACACTAGTAGCATACATTTTTCTTTCAGCTCCTGGCTTGTATTAGGTCAAACACAATTAGATATCTACTTATAATGTCTAAATAGAACCTAGAGCTTTTCTCCCCAGTTATTGTCCAGGAAAATGCCAAGTTACAGTTTCTCTCTATCCTCTCTGCACTTAAGATATAGGAGGTGAACTATAAACAAACAGCATTCACTCACTTGTCAACATTCTTAACTAATCTCTATCCTAATCATGATAAAGTAAACATCTGACACCTCTCAAATAGCTGTATCAAACGCTTTAGTAAAAGCCAAACATCCTCTGGAATCCCCTAACTGTCACAAATAACATCTCTGCTTGCTAAAGTATATTATTTCTCCAGTCTCTTGGCACATCCCTAATGCTCTATCACATATAAATAATTGTCAGTAGTATAGTAAGTTCATTAGCTAACTGTCTTACTGACCCATAAGGCAAATTATCTGGACTCCCACTGTGCTATAGTAGGATCGTATTTCAGATGTATTTTATTTGCCTTTTATCAATAACTGCATTACATCCTCATTGGTTTTTCAACTGTTATCTCATTTCAACTACTTGTTTTAAATTGATTTCCACCATTTCAAGAGTTATCAATCTCATTTTAGTGCTCCTTTATTAATAGACCTCTTACATTCCTTTTCCCTAGACGTGTTTGTGAAAGCTTTTATTTCCCTTATCCTTCTGGCTGTTAATTCATTACTCTTTGATGCCCTTAGCTTAATTCTCTGAGGCTTAAATCTAAACATTTCATGTCTGCAGTCCACCTTCCTTCTTTCAGTGTAAAGCCACCTCACCTCTGACTTTCAGCTGCATATAGTAAAATTACACAGCACATTGCTACCACAATGCTTAACTTTTATTACAAAACTGTAACAATTTCTAGGGCTCTTGTTTGTCCTTCTCTGTTAATAGCTCACATACTGAGATCTCTCACTGCTGCTAGTATCATGTGGGTGAATAAGAGCAGAGAAAAATCCCATTTGTTACATACCAGGGCTGTTCCTCTGCTTGGGCAGTGGAGGATTTTTCTCCTGCCTATGCCCAGACTCTAGCGCTACTGTCTGAGGATTAAACCGTGATCTCCTAGAAACCAAACTTCAAATCATTCTTCAAATTAGTTGTTTGTACCACACCACAGGAATTTCAGTGACTCATAAATCCTGTTATTTCAAAGTAAGGGAAGTACTTGAAAATATCACATGGAGCCAGGCTACAGCTTGAATGTTCTTGCCTATTTTGCACACTAAGGTCTCCTGCTAATCATGACCTATTACAGCTCTTTCCTTGGATTTTCACCTCATGTTTCCTGTTCCAAAATGAGGTGCAGTAAGTGAGATCTGTGAGTCTCATGCTATCCTATATGCATTTTCATATGCCAGAACATGCTTTTATGACTTTCTGGAGGGCAGCCATATACCAAACAAAAAAGCAGTTGCAAAAAGGAAACATTAAGAAAATGAAAGGGGTGTAGCTAGAACAAGGATATTCTATTGCTTTCTTTGTACTCACAACCGACCTTGCTATCAAATACAGCAAAGGCAGAATAGGATGAACAGCTAAGAAAGTAATACAGTGCAACTATTGGAAAAGATTGCTTTGATCTACTAACAAGTTGTTGCTTATTTTCGGCAGTTTACTAAGCCCATTATAGTAGTACTATTTCTTTCTATTCCGGCCTTATCTCCTCTTCTGCAGCCAAATATACTGCTTGCCTGTTGCTAGCTAGGCCGTATCACCAATTCTAGTCTCACACTGCTTTCTGCCGTCTTTTTAAATGCTCAGAGGCCCATTTGGGATAAAGCACCCAGCCTTAGAACCTGCTTAACAGTCATTTTTTGATATTGCCTTCAGGGTGAGAAGATCTGAAAAGAAACATCGGTTTAAAAAAAGTTGCTCAAAAATGAATTTTTATTTATTCTGTCATCTAAATCAGAAATATCTCCCTTAACCTTTCTATTTACATTTACTATGGCAAAGTGACTTAATACTTCAAAATTCCCTTCTCCCCTGAGATCTCTGTAGGTTAGAATGATGTTTGAAAACATCTAGCCAATGCTGATAATTTGGCTACGTGCAGTAGGTTATTCAGATTTGTCAGGGTCCTACAATTACTTAAAGCAAAAGCATTTCCACCATAAAAGGCTCTTGAGCATTACAGGGCCTTGAAAGGTCTTAGCGCAGCTTAGCAGCAACAGCCTGCTGCGATATCCTAAGAATGACTAAAGGTTTTAGATAGCTCATCATTTAAGTTCCAACAGTAAGCTCCTTTAAGCTCTTACGTAGCACAGCAGCAGCATTCAGGTACAGAAGATTAAAAATCTTCAAGTGGCCTTGTGTGTATACAGACACTTCAACTTAGTACAGGTGGCTTAATCATTTATCAGATGTAGCCTATCTGTAACTGCTACTTAAAGCATTCCTCTTTTTACTGAAGTAGCCATTTAAGAGGATGAACATTATGAGACAAAGACTAAGTTGAAAGCACAGGTGACTTTAAAATTATTACTACCTTAAATGGAAGACAATCATCCAGTCTTCTAAAACATGCCAGGGATCTTCAAGGTTAAAAAAGGCCTCATTTTATACCATTAGCCCAGAATATAACCTCGCCATGCTAGAATGCCGATTTAATTTAAAAAAAAGTTTACTGGAACTTTTTCGTAAACTTGTAGCTTTCTGATTCAATTTGGTTTGAGAACCACTCAGTCTTCATAAACGAAACACAGGAAGGGGTAGAGCAGGTAATAGAATGAGTCCAGGCAGTTACGGAATTCATTTGACAAGCCACGAACACTTTTTGTTACTTTAAATAGTAAGATTTTACAAAACTGAGTTTAATAACTGCTCTGAAGATGGGGGTTTTCCAGAACTACACTGGCATAACTGATTTTGCTATGTTCCTCAGTTTCTCCATGCCAGAACCCAAGTAACTGGCATAAACAATCCAGAGTTAAGGGAGCCCTAAACACGTACACATGTCTTAATTTGTACGAGTCTCAGTACTACTCCAGAGTCTCCACTTGGGAAAACAGATTTCATAAGTCTTAAACAGAACTCCAGGCCTATGTATCAGTATTTATTTTGTGGGTTATACAAAGCCTGTACAGGGTCATTAACAATAACAAAAAACAGATGCCTTATTTCATCTACAAAACAATCACCAGAAAAATCCACACAAGCAACCCAGTATTGTAAGATAACATACATAAGTTTCTGGTGAATATACACTGAGCCTTACATGATGTAAGGCATCTGAATTTCTGTTAAGCCTGCAGCATGCCTGCCCATTGTCTGTCATCTTGAGTTCACATCCTGGACATTAAATTCATTCTCACTATTTAAGCAAACCATCTTCCAGTATGCTATAGACCTTTGTTAGGGAGCACATTTATAGTGCAGTTTTAGGTATGATCATAGGCCCATAGCAAGAACTAAAATGCTATCTTCAACTGTTCAAAGAAACAGTAAATCTATATATGTTTACCCCAGAGTAAGCTTTTTCTTTCCTCTTAAATATGAGGTTCAGTAATTTAAAACCATTAAAGGAAGGGCCTGGTCAAGAACAAATGTTCTTGTCACGCTGACTCCATTACCTCATTCTGGAAAATTTCTGATCACTGCTTATAGCATCTTGGCAAAATACATACCTTAAGATCATTAACTCAGTAAAGCTATTGGCAATATATGCAGCCATCAACAAAATTGTATCAATTCACATAAATGTAATAAAACTTTGTAAGGAACTAACTAACGTGTCAAAACAGCAAACTGCAAGTTTCTTGTTAGCCAAATGCTTTTAAAAACGTCCCCCTAAACTGTTATTATATTAATGTATGCGTTATAACCTCAAGCAGAACAAACAAAAGCTGAACTGCATCAGCTGGGAAAGGGAACTGACTCCAGCATCACAGAAGCACATAACTAGGTGCAGACCATACAGAAGTCTGCTGTGTCCACTGACAACAGTTGTCAAAGGCTGCATGAAACCTCTTAGTCTTAGTGAAAGACATAAGGCAAGGTGGCCCAAAACAGCTTTACATTGTATCCACTTCTTTCTAGATCAGTATGCTGTGAATACATTACCAAAGTGTTCCTACTTTTGACAAAAGGTTTTTGCTTTAACATTCTTTTTAACCATAATGTCACAGTACAGAAGGGAACTTTTACTACAAAATTTTATTTTCAATAGTGCATTTCTTGGATTTAAAAAGTTCATTCCAAAACAAACAAGGAAAAGTTAAATACAGTGTTGAAACATTTGCATTTGTGAATTTATTACTGAAGAAAACTTAGAGAGGAAATGAAATTTTAACTCACAAGGAGGCACTTTAATTCATTACTTATCCCCAAAATTGTGTATTTAAGGTGTCATAGAACAATTACAAAAAATAAACCTGTATAAGAATGTCCTAATTTCAGAATAAATATTTAAGTCTTAAACATTTAAAAGTTCTAGTGGTGGTGGCTTAAGAGGAATCTTTCCCATTGTGAACTTTTTTGCTTCAAATTGTTTCAATTCTTCAGCTGATAGTTCCATCTTTGGTGTAAATAACTTTTCTGATGTAATACTGTTTGTGACTGTAGAAGGCGCTGATGTTACACTTTGTCCAGGGGTGCTGGCAGTCTGTCCAAATGAAGTATTACTTGAACGTGAAGGAGAAGCTGCTACTGCTGCATTAAAAGCTCCGAAGGCTGTAAGTGGGGTGGTGCTTGAAGAGTTCACAGCAGAAGAATTGCCAAACCCTGAAAACCCAGAAGTTCCAAAAACGCTAGTTGTTTCAGAAGTTTTAAACGAGAAGGAGGCTGCAGATGGAGTTGACTGACTGCCAAAACCAAGAGAACGGGATACACTAGGGGAGGACATCACACCAAATGCAGGAGGCTCACGGCCAGCAGAAGAGCTCCCAAAAGCAGGGGCGTTTCCAGATGATGCACTGACAAGACCAGAACTTGTTTTAAAGGAGAAATTGCTAGCACTGTTACTGCTGCTGCTGCTCACAGGAAAGCCTGCAATTATAAAATTTAGAAAGACTTTCAGAACGGGCACAGCACACCTGCAATACTAAAACATTGTTGTATTCAAATATCACAGAAGAAAAAGAGACCTCAAAAAATATTTAACTGTCGGTTCTTAATGCAAAAACTTACTTGACAACCCAAAGCCTGATGTTTGCTGTCCTCCAAATCCAAATGAAGGCAATGGTTGACTGACCACATTCTTCAGCTCAGATAGCTTAAAAAAATCCAAATATATAAATGAAAACTAATATTCTAAAGCAGGGAAGTGTCTTTCAAAAAATACTCGAAACAAGAATACCTCTTAAGAGCTCTGCTTCTAATCTCTTAACTATTTTACTCTGTATTCTATCTCTCTACTTATGCCACTGCTTTGGCTCCTTTTCTCTCACCTCAGCATATCTAACCTTCTGTGCAAATCCCACTTCTTCACCTTCAACACTGAACATATCAAGAGGCGTGAGCATAAACTTGAACGCACTTCATGCAGACTCCACTTTAAATCAATTTATTCTGTCTCCCTGATTATTTAATACTGGTTTCCAACTGTTTTTGAGCATTCTCTTGCTGAAATACCTAGATTTAGAAAACAATTGCAGGTTTTCCCAGAATATCTACCCTTAATGCCTTCAAATTTTATCCAAACACACTGTTCCTCCCTCAGCTATATAACCATTTCTCTTTCTAGCATTACAGAAATGCTCTAAGTGATCCTATTTATTTTAAGATGGCCAGCACAATTCTGTCTGGTCTGCTGATTATGCCTGAGAGAAGTCAACACTGGACTGGAGATGTGCATCTTAATATACACGTACACAACCTGCTCTCAACCTTAAGCTACTGCTACTTCCATGTGGCTTGCAATGACAAAGTTTTCCAAGCCTGGGATCCAGCTGCTGCCTTGCTAACGTGGATCTATCTGGATTCGCTACCTTCCTTAGATAACTAAGAGAATTTTTTAATACAATTCGCATACAATGCCCTGATTTCTTGATTCCAGAGGGAGATGAATATAAGACCCAAAACTCTGTTCATAGACTTCCATGTTCATCTGACTCGGGTACTGCGGAAGTATTCAGTCACATTTCTATCATCTAAAAAACTATACAGAAGTAGAGACGGGGCACTTTTCAAACTGCAGGCATCATTCTCTTATGTAATTGCTCCTTCCACCCTTCCTGATTTCTATAATGTTCCCAGGTGCGTTTTAAGATTACTATCAAGAGGTCTTCATGCTGGCAGTCAGCCAGACACTTTCATGCCCACTGTTCCTCATGGCAATAGTGCCAGAAGATAACACATCACAGTAGAGATTTTTCAGAACAGTGCATATATCTGAATCTGGGAATCAAACCCTTTGACAGTGCCTGAAGTTTCTGCGGAACTTTTAAAAGATCTCCACACTAAGAACAAGGTGGCCTATTACAACTATCATGTCTTAAATTTCATTAACAGTCTCTGTAAAAGAAATTAACCTTGGCACTTGCAGCACATTTGCAACAAAAGATGAATCTAAGGGAAACATTCATCCAAGATTAAGAGAAAATGACACCAAAAACATTTTACTTTTCAGTAATACTTACCAATGCTGCTCTTGTTGATGCGCTCAAAGTTTTTAACTCAAGCAGCCTGTTTTTCCATTGTTTCACTAACTGTTGGACAGAATTTATCTGAAGAGGGGGATAGACAAGTATGCTCTTATTATTGGCGAAGACTTAAAAATAGACCTAGAGTGATCTAGCAAATAAACTGAAAATAGATTTTTAGAATTAGAAAAGAAATCTTCATTAAGCCAAAGAGGTTTCCTGAAATTTCAAGCTGAGGATCTCAAATTTTTGTTATTAATCCAGGATTCCTTCAATTCTCTTACAATTGCTCTTACATCAACTTTTATTAATGTATAGACCAGAAAGTGTAAAAAAACTTGTCCTGGAGCTTTCTAAATATAAGCTCTACCACTATCTGAATTAGGTGCTTGAAAAAAATATCAAAGGGGAATTTCAGGCTCTAAGTATATAAGAATAAACTCTTCAATCCTTGTTTTCTTTCTGGCCTGTCCAGTTAGACATTCACTCAAGTTGAAATCCTTGGACTTTCCTTAGTTTCTCTCACATTTTCAGAAAGAATATCCACGTTCAAAACACAATAATTGAGAACAATTTAAACAGTATCACCCCAAAATACTCAGCTTTGAAAAAAATTAACTTAATTTAAATCAGTCCCTCTAATGAGATGCAACAGACTACTGCACAGAACATACACAGCCATAAATAGTACCTGTGTCTTGATAACTGTGATTAAAGTATTAGATGGGAGGTTGGAAATTCACTAAATAACTTATTTTTCAGTACTTTAAAACTTGAATTTCCTATATTTACAATTATGGAAACCTTATTTTAAGTTCAGCCTAACTGAAATTCTCCTCAAAAACGGACAAAGTAAGGAAAGCATCTGATGTGCCAAATGCCTGCAAGACTGGAACGCTTAATCTTTTTGTAACTAGATTTCTTAACCTTTCAAAAGGGTCTCACACTGCAAACGTCAATAATTCTTTTGTGTCTAGTTACACGCTGGAAGATCATGTTGTCTGATATCATTTCTTATACAACAGACTTGAGGATTTAGATTTTGACCAATTTATGAATGGAAACACATGCTTTGGATAAGATACGTTGTACTTACATATTTTGTATCATACAGTTATCATCTATACACTGAAACTTTCATAAACTTGCATTCAAGTATTCAGTGATGCCATAAATGCTTTTTTAGCAGCTAGCAGTAGTGTATTGTTTACTCTTTTCAGTTTATTTTTCTAATTGAAGTTTTCTGAAAAAAAAAAAAAAAAAGCATCAACTCTATACGAAGAGCAGATGTTAGCATAATATGTTGCCAAGTTGAAAAAAGTGACTGCTCAAAAACATTTTAGAGTAAAATATTTACAAAATTAAGGAGATGTATTTTGAACAATTGCTTCAAAAAACTTGATTAAATATTCAAACAAAAAAGTTATGACAGAATTTTTCATTTTCAGATAGAAGAAAAGATACGGTCTGGCAACTCAGCTTTGTCACTGACTTGCTTCAGATTGTTTTATTAACAGTGTTTCTGCTGTCTCCAAGTTTCCTTCTGACTCAAAAAAAATGCAGTTCTGGTGCTTATAAGCACATGAAATGAGTAGTGACAACAGCATTTCCTTCTGTAATACAGAACCAAAAGAAAGAGGAAAGAGTCAAAGTAGCTTGAATTAGTTTGTACTTTCAGGACATAGTAATGCAGATGGATACAAAATTGGGTTTTAATTCTATCTTGTGAAATTCAGGACTGAAGAAATAACTACAAGCTACTTCAAATGGAATCATCAGCTGGTTTAACCTATTACTAGACTAGACGTTAGGTTTGAAATTTGCCAGAATCCATAGAATAAATTACTTTGCTGTTACAACTTGTTTAAAGCATCAGCCAATACAGTTAGTGAGGACTGCATCCTTTGAAAGAACAAAGGATACTTCCTAACAGGAACTCAGTCTGTTCTATACCACGTGCTTGTGACAGAGCTGTCACCCAGTTCCAGAAGTGTAACCTTGGTGTCCAACGTGGAGTCATTTGGCAGACAGGATCTAAAACTCATACAATTTGCTAAAATACACATCTGTTTCGATTTTGTCATTTTCACCAGCCAAACCACTGCTCTGCAGTCTGGTCAATTTGATAAACCTAATGTATGCTTAGGAATTACTTTTCCCAAAGAATGCAAGACTATGGAGAGATTCTAAAAATGATTCATTCTCCTTCTCAACCCCAAGAAGTCTGTACTGTAGAAAAGGCTGCTTTCAGCAACGACGGTCAGCATAGTGACTGCATTCAGTCATACTATCGTTACTTTAGCCTACTGGGTTTAATTTCATGGCATCTGTCTAATACCTTAACTCCTTTCAGGACATACCATTCACTATGCTAGTTTTGTTGATATCGATAGGCCTATAAAGAAGCAAAAATATATATATATATTGAAATATAAAAATACATGTTACTTTTCTATAAATATACATATACTTCTTCAGAAGTAACAGCTTTTTTCAGCACTAATTCCCTCTAATAAGGGTATGTAAAAAAAAGTAAAATAAATCTCCCCAGTAGTACACTTAAAGCACTATATATCCAGTTGTACTAACAATAAAACTAACAGCATGAAAAGCATTAAAGTTCTGAGCCAGGACTCAAATGACTTACACAAGTAATGCACAAGATCAGGAGCCAGAATAAGAAAATGAATGTCTAGATTGATAAAGACCATACATTTTACTGAGATTAGCTAAAACTCTACTCCCACCACTCTTCGGGGAAACTGAGGCATCAACATATTTAGGGATCCAATTTTAGAAACCCAGACCTGACAGTTTCAGCCTTTGATCTCAGAGAGGAATAGGAAATTATGGTAGAGCATTCTGACTGGCAGCTATTTTTTTTCTATTTGGGGCGCATGAATTTAAAAATATTTTGGCATTCTGATCATTGCCTAGAGTTTGGTGAGGTAATCAAATGAGTCAGAGTTGCCACATGAAAAATACTAAACAGTCTTATATTGAAACGTTCATGTAAAAGATTCGGTATTTCTAAAATACTTACATAGTTCTGAATGTTATTGTTTGCTCTGCAGTTGTAAAACTCCAGACGCAACTCTTCTGGCGAGAAATCTGGAAAACCTGAAAGGAGAGGAATAATCAAAAACCTCAAAGAAAAGGCACTACTATTTCCAATGGCCCTCTATAGAGTTACAAAGAAATGAGCCTTAATACATCATTTGTAGTAAGTCAGTTATACACCTGGAGACACAAAAAGAATGCAGAACTTCAAAGATGTGAACGTTCAAAATGAATTTCTCAGAACCCAATGTTCCTTCCTTTCACCTCATAAGGCAAGTGATCAGCTTGCAAACAGTTCCATATAGGTGTAACAACACTGACAAGTATGAGACGCTGCTTACGTGGAAGAAGTTGCAAGTTTGTAGTCTCAGATAAAGATCTGTTTTATGTTGCTGTTGTTTTCAGACAAGTGCCTAGCGTTCTTCTGGCCTCTAAAATAAAGTCAGCCTTACACACAACAAACATTCTAACCAACAGCAGGGTATGGTAATACTAAAAAAAAAATTGCTAACCTGAGATATTAGGCTTTTCTTTCATAGGTGAGTAAGATGAAAACATCCATTGTCCTGAAGATTCCCAAATTTCCACGTCTTTCACTATGCCTTCACTGGAAATCAGAAAAAAAAAAAAAAAGAGTGGAAATTATACAGCCAAAATGAAACGCAAAAAGCAATCGCCTAGTTTGAATACAAGGTCAGATTCAAATATCTGAAACCATGAAAATTAACGAAATGTGACACTATTCAGGATGAACAATGTAAGTACTTGGTTCTTTGTGGAAAGAAAGCTTTTTTCAATGCTTTTCAAAATGCCCCTTCAAAATATTTTACTTTATCATCTGACTACAAAGTAAATTAAATCAGATCTTAAAAAATCCCCAACAGTATTTTTGAATGCCAGAATGGCATATGCTCTCATAAGATTTTCCCTGAAGCTGCAGATCACATTACAACTTTGAAACCTTCTCAGTACTAGAAGATTTTACACATATGAATGAATATACATAGAAAAGAAAAAGAAGGAAAGTGTTCCACATCAGTTTTTGGAAAAGAATCAAGAGCAAAAATCCAGACATGGCAGAAGCAGAGAAACAGAAGCTACATCAGAAGTAAAACCACAACAAAACAGTTAAAAGGGGAAAACGATAGTGCAAAAGCATAAATATTTTTATGCTACTATTTTTATTAAAAATATTTTAATAATATTTTTGCTACTCTTTCAGATGTTTGTTAACACACTATACATTCACATTTGGGAAGCTGAATAACTATTCAGTTAAGTACCTTATCAATGTACTCTTAAAAAGAAGGAAGGGGCTAGGGCTGCTCATTATCCTGGCTTCCACAAACCTTGTTGCTTTAGGAAATCACACTGCTTGCTTGCTTCTCATCACCTGCCCTGTAATTGCCCTGAGTCTGCCAGTCATCTTACACTAACTCTGACATACATGCACATGAAACCAGGTTTCTCCAGGTTTGCTATTGATGAAATAATTTGTTACCTTAAGGGTCAGGAAAACTAAGCCAAAGAGTTCATTTTTTCCAATAACTTTTTTTTAAATGGTTGAAATGCTGATTTAGGGGCCCTGACCCTTTTATTTCAAGTACTGAACTCTTAATTTCTCCTTCCTTATCCTCCTACACGCAACTTAGGATAGTAGAAAGGCATTATGGTATTAATCTAGCCACCCAACCCCAGCTTTTCTGGTTCCAAACAAGGACCTCTTTCTTCCCATGCCATCATAACTCAGAGAACTAAATGAACTAGTGTTTTTTTTTATGTTTTTCTCTACATGTCCCAGCTTCCCTCTTCATGATCACCTCCTCTACTTTATCGCTAGTAAGCCAATAAGCTTTTAAAACGCTCATTCTAAATGCTTTCAATTAGCCACTCAGAGAGACAAGACTGTAACTTACAGAAGTTTCTCCTCTTCATCTTTATAGCCATCATCAATATTCTGACTGGTCGTTAATGCAGAGAACCTGTTCTGTGAAAAGTCTACATTTCTACTGCCACTGCCTGATGATCCAAAATCAGACGATCCAAAAAGTCCTCTTGCGTGATCTTTGCTGCCACCCCATGCATTAGATTTAAAGGTGGAGGGTTGAATAACATTAGTGTATCTCTGGTTACTGGCACCCCATCCTCCTACTCCTCTGGTAGTACCTTCCAACGAAAAACAGCATTAAATCATTTAAGATATTAAACAACATTCACAACAGTAACAACAACTGTAAGTTAACTATTCTCATAGTGTCAATAAAAAGTTAAAAAAGAAAATCTCAAAAGACTGAGTTAATTAGGGTAGACCAAACGCATGCTCTCATCACACACGTGACTATGCCAACAAAAGAAAAAACTTGCTGGGGCTATTGCAGAAAAGAGTTTGTTTCAGTTTGGCTTATGTTGTTCCCACAAAGTAACTAGCCCAGGAGAAAAAAATAAAATTTAACTCACAGTATATTTACACTAAGCTATGGCAGTAGCTCTGTTGCATGAAAAGACCTCCAAAGTTAAGACCTTCCGTTTCATTTGTGCGCATTACAAACTCAGAACCTCCTTCAGCAGGTACACGAGCAACTGCAGTTGTGTTATTGCCTTGCCATAACCACAACTATCTGTCCAACAGCATTTCTCGTCACGTCACTCGCACATCAAAGGCTTCCAAAGAACCAAATCGAATTAGAACCAAAACAATCTTAAAAGCGACAGATGCAGGTGCCTAAAATTTGCCTCTTACAGATAACGGTCAATAATTACTCTCGTGTTTTCTCCGTTGACGTAGCACGTTTAACGGCACCTTCTTCAGAACCCACCGCCCCAAACCTGGAGCCAAGCCAAGGCAGGAGACACAGGAGCTCGAGTCAGCCCAGCTCCTTTGCTCTGGGGGTGCTGAGCCCCAGGGCAGCTCCCGAGGGCCCTGCTCCAGCCCC